CTGCTGAGGGGAGCAGCGGGCGGGTCAGGAGAGGTCTGCCGCGCCATGTGGCCACCTCCGGGGCAGGCGGGGATCGAACTCATGCGGAAGTGGCTTAAGTTTCTTAGTGCTATGCTTTAACCTGCTGCGCCACCAGGGAGGGCCCCACGTTTTTATCTTTGAAAAAATAAAAAAAGGTAAGCCGGCAAACGAGGTCATGTGGGGAAAGGCAAGACCAGTGACTTTGGCATTGGGGTGTAGCGAGGGACACAGCACCCCTGCTCCCACGGCGACCGGTCCTGGCATTTCAGACAGGCTGTTCTTTTTCAGTGATGCTTGGCTGTATTTAATGAAACACTTGTTTGCAGATTGCCAACACAGGAGAGGAGAAGAACTGGCTTTCTCCCACCATTCCGAGTGCTCTACCGGGTCCTGACAGAGGGCAGGTGCGGGGAAGTGCGCGAATTGGTTCAATAGAAGTTGGACGTGATGTGGGGACTTTCAGAAGGAAATGGATAGCCAAAGAAAGGTTAAACTGGAGTGTTTTTATTCCAGGTTTGCTGAAGACTAGAAGGTCATGAAAATGTGACAGGACAAAAGGGCGTGAGCCGAGGACGGCATGAGGGGCCTCGCAGTGAGGCCTCCGTCAGAGCCCCTTGTGTCCCTGGTCTTCGCAGGTCAGGCTGTTCCTTCCTCGGCACAGGGAGGGCACATGTCCCATGCGGGTCTTGTGACCTGCCTCAGTGGGGAGGGGGTGTCAGAGCATCCTTCCCACCCTGCCCTTCCTCCAATTCCTTCAGCTGACACCAGCACCAGGGACTTTAAGGGGCCCAGTCTGTGTGCTTGTTTGGAACCAGTTACGTCGGGCCAGCTAGCCGGTGTTGCAGCACCCACCTTCGCCGACCTCCAGCTAACTGAGTATGGCACCAGGAGTCCTTCCCAAAGGTTCAAATCTTACCACGCTCCCTGTCACGCTTGGAGAAAGCCCCAGTCCTTTCTTATTGTAGTCAGATCCCCCCCATTCTGCAACTTGTTCCCCAAACATCAGGAACAAGTGGAATTAAACTCTAACCACTGACTGACTGACTGATTGTTCGTTCTCCTCCTTACCCCTCATGATCAATGCTAGCTGGCTCCACCTGAGAACTCGAACTTGGTTGTGTCACTTCCCTGATAAACATTCTCAGTGTCCCCTGGGGCTGGCAGTGGCCTCAGAACAAACATCTGCTGGTGGCTGAGAAAGTAGCCGTCTTGGGGAGAGCCAGACACCCGACTCCTGGGCCAGGCCTCCCTCGGCACCAACTCTGCCTGGGGGTGTGAAGCCCTGGCCTCCCCCACATCCAGCACACCTGCCATTTGGGGAGCCAGCTGTTTTGGGGTGTCCATCCCACCAACTCCTTGATGAACATCTCCGATAAACTGCTCTTGTAAAGATATGTCTGGTGGTTCGTTTGGCTTTCTGGGCGCAAGTGAAAGGCCCAGTGTGGCTGTTTACGTCAGCCCAGGCAACTAGGGCCCTCGGACTTCCCCCTCATCCTCCTCCCTTACTGGGCACCCTTCTGGCCTGGCGTCTTTGCACTAATGCTCCTGTAAAACTGATTTTAAATGAAATGAAAAGCCTTTCCTTCATGAGCAATCTTGAAGAAGTCACTTTAAAATTGACTGCCTTTTAGGCAGTAAGACAAAAGAATGACTATACTTAGAAAGTCATTCTAAGTATAGTGACTAAAAGAAAACCACCCAGATTACTGTTTTCCCCTCTCTGAGTTGCCCAAGTCATTGAAAAAGTTGATACAAAATGAGAAAGACTAGCCAGATTTTTGTAACTTGGAGTAAAGGAATTTCCATTTCAAGTGTTTTCACTTTTCCACAAATTTAGTTTGCAAAATTTCAATATAAATCAAATTTACAAAGCCCCCTCCCCCAACCAAAAGCAGACGTGACCTCATCGACCACACTTGGCTTCCGCGTGCTGCACTTTTATACCACCCGATGGTTTCCAGGATCATTCCAAGTCCCTCAAAACCACATTTTGCAAAACTTGGGAGTTTTAGGTGATTTGGCAAGTTTCTCTGTAAAAGACTTGACATGTCACCTGACAAGCAGCAGCCCTGGGGAGCTAGAAACAGTAGCACAGAATGCACCGAGGATGGCCTCAAGCCCTCGGGGATACAAACCTGGACTTTGTGGAAACGTCTTGAGCAGGTTGGCTAGACAGACCACTAGGCCTTCAGAGTTTGGATAAAGGAAATTAGGTGGGCTAAGGGAAAAGATCTGGTGGAAATGTGGAGGTCTGTAGATGCTGAGGTAAAACGTGACAAAATGATAACCATGAAGTTTTTCAAGAGCCAAAACCAGCAGTGATCACTTAGCATGCTTGTCGTTTAACCAGTTTCACAGATTGGTCCCACATTATTTGCTGAGGCCTGGAAGACATTTGGTTCACCAGGAGAATGTTGGGAGATTCAAGACAGAGGCTGGGGACTTCCTTAGCCAGATTAATGTTCGCTATTATGTAAGCAGAAGTACAGCTTTAGACCTGAAAAGGGTCACAGAATGCCAGAACTTTGCTGTTCTGGAACCGGGAAGCGAGTTCCACAGGTGATAAGGTGGCACTGGGTCCACACAGCAAATGTGAAATGCTGAGACATTCTGGAAATGACTCCTCCCAGGTCTAGTGGTCAGACGACTTGAAGTCAGTCAAAGTTACGCAAAACTTGCCTCTTAACCCAGTAGCTGGGAAGCTTCACCAACGCGCGCCGTCTTTGTGGCTCCACAGAACATTCTTCAGAAAGGAAGAGTGCCAAGCCCAGCTCTGCTTCCTCTGCACACAGGAAACACCCTTGTGTCTTTAGACCAAAGTTGCCTCACACCAGGGACCCGCTAAGAATAATTCTATTTCTAATGTCAATGGTTCGCTCAACCGACCTGTACAAACTACACTCAAACTTGTGATAGCTGGACCAGTCCCCTGAGAGGAACGTCTGTCAGATTGCTTCTGGCTTGGAATTCGCACTTCAATTGGCTAATAAGCTCGACTGTGGGCATTCTGATTCGTGCTAACATAAACCTTATCTTCCCTAAGTCCCCCAGATATTTACCTTTCTGATTTGCTGTCCCCAAAAGCCTAAAGTCCCCGTACTTTGTCTTGTTACTTCCTACAGATTTTCTGTTGTTTGTGAAAACACCACGCAGGCCCAGGTCCCAACCCTCCCTCGAGATTCCTGTCCCTGACTTTCTGCTGTGTGTATTACGTCAGTGCTAACAAAGTGTTCCTCTTATGGGTCTGTCTTTTGTCAATCTAATTTGGTAGCAAGCCTAGGAAGGTTTCTCTCTCCCTTACAGACTTAACATGTCCTGAGAACAAGAAGCCTTCCTAACATCAAAACCAAAAGTCACAGTAACAAAGTCTACCCTTTAAACCCTTTCTGCTCGTTGGTGCTTAGAAACAAAGAATAAAAAGTGAACTCAAATTATTTGTTCCTACAATTGTGTGTGTGTGGGGGGGGTATTTTAAGGCTTATTTTTATTTATTTATGCACACAAGAGCTGGGGTACAGGCCAGAGTGCAGATGTGAGAGGACTCACTGGAGACAGAGTGGGGAGCAGAACAGGTGGCTTGCCTGAATCCCACTGCTGAGGGGAGCCGCAGAAGACAGGAAGGTCTTCTGTGCCCTGTGGGTCACTCCCTGGCTGGGGAATCAAACCAGCTGTAGTTTGATAGTGCTGAGACTTTTACCGTTGCACTGCCAGGGAGGCCGCAATTGTATATATATTTTTAAAAGTTTACTCTGGAGAACTTGTGGGAAGAATAAAGATGTGAAAAGCATAAGAAAAGAGCATTTGAACTGTGGAGTGAGTTACAGGGGGGCCTCCCTGTAAAATGAGGCGTCAAGAAGATGACAAAGCTCTAGTGTCCGATGTCAGGGGACAAACGCTTTATTCCTGTTGTCCACGGCCCCACGAATAGTTTTCAGAAGTCAACACGTGGCACACTCAGGTGCTGGAGTCAGAGGAGGACGTGGGCGCAGCCCGGGCGGGGTAGCCGATGGCTCCCTCGCCTGGAAAGATTACAGCATAACATCCCCTTCTTAGTGCCGTCAGAAGGACCAAGTGGCCCATTTCTGAGTAGCGCTGAACCCCAACTGCAGCTAAAAATAACTTGGGGAATTACAAACGGAAAGGTTGGGGGCCAGGTCACATCCCGCCATCTGCTTGAATGGCTGTGCGTGGGCCCTTGCATCAGAGAGCGCTCAAAGTCACCCCGTGAGGCTAACGCCAGGACTCCAGGCCTGCCCAAGCTATCATGAGCTCAGTGACTGTACGGCACAACGCGAACAGTCACCCACTAGCCCCAAACTGTCAGTGTTTCGTGAAGGCCGCGTGCACGATGTGCCATAGCACACTAAGGGCCGGTACAGACAAAAGGTGTCCGCCGGGGCGCTTTATAAGCACACCCACTTGCTGTGGTACCACTGCTCCCCACACTCATTACAGGTGACGTAGGTCATCATATCTTCACCTGGGTTTGAATTCTGCACCCAACCTGGCAGGAAGAGCATGCCCCTGGTGATCATGGTGACCTGGCAGTTGAAGCGCCCGCAGCGCCCGCACCTGATTTTTGTGGTGGGTGTGCCCTCGACGGCGCGGGGCAGGGACCGAGCCTGTATGCAGGATTCTGTGTAAGATGCCCGCAGCTGCTTCAGTTCCTTGCTGGCCATTTCCAGGACGGTCATTTCGGCAAATTCTCTCGGGGACATGGCCCCAGAGAGCAGGTTTTGTGATAAGTGAGGGTTTCGGGGGTTCCTCAGATTGGCAACCTTGCTTCGGATACAAGTTTTGTACTTTCTGAGGTTCTTTGAATGAAGGGCAAAGATGTGCTCTTCAATTTCTCTTGCAAAGCCCACCACAGCCTGGGGCTGATCTGAGGAGGAGGCTGCTAAGGCTTCAAACAGCAGCTTTGTGCACCGGGCTCTCAAGGGCCCCCCGGAATCCAGCAGCTCGTCTGATCCCTTCCCAGGGGGCTCAGGGTCGCCCTCCTCAGGTTTCGTCTGCCGGGGGCTGTTCCCCGGCACCATCCCACCCGTGGCTTCTGCCAGGGCCTCTGGAGATGACTGCAGAGAATCAGAGCTGGGGGTGGCTGGCACCTCGTCCTGACTGGGGCCATGAGAAAGTCCTGAATTTCGCTCTTTGTTTCCACCTGTGGGAAAGAATTCTGGGCTGGCCCTGGCTTTGCAGCAAGGAGCCTTATAAAGAGCTCTCCACTGTGACAGCAGACACTTGGCTTTCTTCTTCAAAGCTGCTGTGGGGCAGGTTCTGAGGACTCTGTACACCACCCTCACCACATCTGTCTCCTGCAGGAGCTCCTTGGTCACAGGGAGAGTATCCAGCTCAGCAAGGTGGTCACCAAGATCCTCAAAATTCCTTCCAGACAGCAGTCGCTCAATAAGGGCAGCTCGGGCAGCTACCTCGTTCTTGTCAGCCATTTTCTCAGTGAAAGGGAAAAAAGAGGCTTCTGCTTTCTTAAGCTCGTATCGGCCAGTTACAGCTTCCAGAGGGCGGCCCAGCTAGCACGCAGGCCACCGTGCCGGTGCGGGCTTTCTGAAAGGCATGTAACAACGGGGCGACATGTTAGAACCTGGCAAGGTGGCATGGTTTCATTTCCAAAGCTCGCAGTTGTTAAAAAAAAGGGGGGGGGGCACTGCAGACTTCACTTCTGCATTGACAGCTGCTTAAAAGCAGCTTGCTGGAAGATTTCCCCATTCTAGTTCGACAGATCAGTGATCTTTCCAGGCCTACATGAGTCTAATCCTTTGGGTGGAACTTGGTTGATGGGTCAGAAGAAAAGTCACACTGGTGCCGGCCCACGGGGAAGGCAGGCTAGGTGAGGCCTAGCCCCTTTGCTTTGTTACCTGTTGCAAATTTCCTGTTATGTGAAGACACCACAAAAGGCAAGGTCCCCACACTCACATAGCTGAACTACCTGCTGATCTTATGGGAGCTTTGCGCGGTTCATTTCTGAGTATAAGGAAACGAGAACAGGGCCAGCGGGGCACGCCAGTGTCCTAAAGACTAAAGAAATGGTGAGTGAGCTGGGTCGGGGGGCACCGAAGGGCCCGTCAGCCAACCAGTCACTGTGCCGACACCTGGGTTGACGTCCTCGCCCTTGAGTTCAGTTCCATTAACGTTCTTGCTCTAACTTTGAAGGGTAAAAAGTTGCTCAATGCCTGTGTGTGTGACTCTCACCCTGACCAGGTAAATGTTTACTCTGCTTCACCGGCCGCTCTCGCTCCACGTGACGCACACGGCCTCTCCTACGCCGCCCCTACGCAGCACCCGCCTGGCCTACATGTGAGCATACGTCTTGCCGGTAGGGCGCCGTCTTTTCAAAATCCTGTGGACTCTCACTTACAGGACTTGGCACTGAATAACCACCACTGACCATTCACAAGCTAACGACACTGAAGGGACCGCAGACAGGGCTAATGCAGTCTTCCCAGGAGCCACCTGACAAGTATGTAAAACTTAAAGGCCTGTACTCGTGACTCTACGTCTGCAGCTTTACTTTCAGGACATGAGATACAGAGGTACACTTGGAAGAATGTTCATCAAACTTAGGAGAAATTGGAAGGTCCCAAATGGCTACCGAACGAAGGTACCTTCCAAGGATGATGTGGTCACCGGACCATTTGACACGGTGTTTTTAGAGACCATTTAACAGAGTGGGAAAACAGTCGCAATGCTCGGGGAACGAATCTGGAGGTAGAGTCACATACACGAGAAACTAAAGAGTGTTACCATGTGGCCCAGCAGGGCCGCACGTGCACGCTCGCAGCAGCACTGTTCCTAACACACACCGAGTGGAAACAAGCCAGGCCAAGAACAGAAAAGTGGACCAGCTTCTCTCTGCAGTCAGAACACTGGTCTTGCGGCACCTAGGCTTGCAGCATCGCTTTCACTCGGTCCATGCCGAGTCTGGGGAGTAAACAGAGAAACCCCCTCTCCGAGTCTGACCCGAACAGGAAGTGCTAAGTCCCGCTGGCCACGATTTTGAGGGTCCCGCGGGCGGCGCAGCGCCACAGGCACAGAGCAGGTTTTTGGCAGTCTGGGCAGGCGGGCAGAGGAGCGCCCCGAAGCCCTCCGTGGCTTCTTCAGGCACTAAGTGACCTTTCTACACCACTTGTAGGGAGGCGACCAGGTGCAGGGCAGGCGGGCATCTAGCAAACCCTGACTCTTTCTGGGCTCTCCAGCATCTCTTCTCTGGTCTCTACTGCACGGCCCTCTGCTGCCCTTCCAGGTGCCATCTCTGGGCTCAGGTGTGCCCACTGGCGCAGGCCCATGCGCTACTCCAGGTGTCCACAATCAGGCACACGTGTGAGACAACCGCGCTCTCAGGCTATGGCCAGCCACTGGGGCCTGAGTTCGACCCACAGCGCAGCAGACCTCTCCTGTCTCCCCGCTGCCCCCTCAGCAGTGGGTTTCAGTAGAGCCGCCTGTTCTGCTCCCCACTCTGCTTCTGGTGAGTCCTCTCCCCCATCTCTGCCTGTGCCCCGGCTCCTGCATGCACAAATAAGGCATTAAAAGACCACAGGTGCTGATCATTGATGCTAATGGCAAAAGGGAGGAGAAACCTGATGGCCTCCAGCTCCCCTACAGGCGTCCCCTGCTGAGCCGGCTCTCAGGAACCTAGATAGGAGTCTGGCTTTAGTACCACTAGAGGGAGCCGGAGAGGCCAACCCAGTGGTCACTCTCAAGAGTCTCTAGGCCACTGGTGCTGGATCTTCGATGGCATCATCTCATTTTCGAGAACCAGTATTTAAAAATCTTTTTTTTTTTTTAAGTTTCACTTTTAAAGACTGACCACATTCTAAACGGTCTTCCGAAGGTCAAAAGCTCAGGAAACAGGCCAGGTGAGTGAGCGCAGAGACGGGAAGCGGCCGGGAGGCCTGGCTTTCCCCTCCCCGGTGTGTGCCTGAGCTGCGGGGTCTGAAGGGAGTCGAGCAGTCCTGTCACCACAAGGTCTCAGCCGCGCAGGCCACCGGAGCCCTCCACACTTGCTGGAGGATTCCCAGCAAAGAGGGGTTTTGTAATGGTCCACGGCGAGGCTAGGGAAGCAGCGGCCATGAAGCCTGCCGGTTAATGAGACAGGTCCCGGGTGCCCACGAAGAGGTCAGGCAAGATTTACCTCAGCTGGGCGCTTCTCAGCAAGGGCCAGAATTTCCTGGGGATTCCAGGGGGGTCACCTGGAGCGTCAGGGCTTCAGCGCCAGGGCAGCAGCCATTCTGCTGTATCAGCCGGCCCCCCGGGGAAACCTCCAGGTGTGAGGGGTTCGCGTGCAAGCGCTTCGCTCGTGTCCTCTCACTTACTCAGCTCGACTGCTATCTGGTGTGAGCTTTCTGAGTGTGGTAACATACACACCATAAAAACGTTACCATCTTAGCCACTTTCCAGCAGATGGTCCAGGAGTGCTAAGGACACTCACCATGAGCAACTCCAGATCCTTTGCATCTTTGAAAACATGCCTGTGCCCTTAAACACCGCCCCGCCCCTTCCTCCACCTCTGCTCTCTATGAATTTCACTACTTTAGGAACTTTGTGCAAGTGGTATTTTTTTAGATTTATTTTATTTATTTATGCATACAAGAACGGGGTGCAGGCCAGAGGTGAGGGTGGGTAAGAGGGCTCCCCAGAGACAGAGTGGGGGGCAGAGCAGGTGGATCTACTGAAACCACTGCTGAGGGGAGCAGCGGGGAGATGGGAGAGGTGTGCTGCACCCTGAGGGTCACGTCTCTGAGCGGGGATAGAACTGCAGTGGCTGTGGACAGCTTCACAGTGCTGAGACTTAACCGCTGCGCCACCAGGCGGCCGCGTGCGTGGTAGTATTTTTTGGGACAGGCTTATTTCACGTGGCACAGTGACCTCCAAGGTCATCCACGGGGTTGCAGCGAGCATCAGAATTTCCCTCCTTTAAAGGCTGAATCATATGCCACTGAATGGACGGGCCACATCTGGGTGTGCATGAGGCTGCCTGGCGTGGGTGTCGGGATACCCCTGGAGACCCTGCTTTCAATTCTTCTGGGCCAATAGCTAGAGGTGGGATTGCTGGTGACAGGGTGATTCCATTTTAACTCCTGGAGGAACTGCCATGCTGCTTGCCACTCGCCTCCATAATTTAAGCGCCATTTAAATCCCGTCAAACGTTCTCTCCCCGTGGGACGGGCGTGTGAGTATCAGCATTTATCGCCCTCCGAGGGTCTAGTGTGGAAGCAGCGGGACAGAAGAAGCTGAGGACTCCGCCAGCGGGCAGCACTGCCGCGTTATGCCTGGAGTTCGGCTCGCTCATGCTACACGCTGACTGTGCGCCCGGGACTTGGGGCGCGGAGCCTACAGAAACTGGCCTGCGAGAGCTGGCGGCAGGGCAAGGCACAGACACGAAAGCGGCTTTTCAGGGCCAGACACCAGCTCCTGAGGAGACACACCGGAGGCACACGCCTCCCCGCCCCCACCAGCTCTGCTGGCTGCATCTTACCTCGCTCCGATTAACAGCACTTGCTGTTCTCAGCAAAACATGCGCCCAGTTTCCCACTGAAACTGCCCTTCAGGGGCTCTCTGCTCTCAGGTTGGAGTCCACAGTCGTGCCCTTGGTCAGATGAGGACAAGGCCCTGCCGGCAGTCTCCCTGACTCTGGCACCAACCAACAGACCCCACCCATTTCACAACTCTGCGCCTTTGCTCCAGGAGCTCCTGGCCTGCCTCTCACCAGGTTTAGTGCTCAATCCTGTCTGCAAATCCAAATCACAATCTTTGGTAGAAACTAAACAGCACAACAAAAACCCAACACCCAGACCTGTCCCTACGTAGCCTGAATTAGCATCCCGGAGGGTAGGCCTGGGTGTTGTTTCAGCTCCAGGTGATTCTGTTGCCACCATTGCTCTGAAGGTCCGTAGCACCACCCCCTGCCTGTGTGTTAGGACCTGCTGTCAGCTCCCGAGAACCGATTCCAGCCTCTGGCTGAGCCAGCTCCCCATACGTGTTCCTGCACTTACCTATAAGGCAGGCACATTTCTGGAGCAACTGCTCCCGCCATCCCTGCTCAGTGCATCTCAGTCCTCGTCGTAACCCCAGACAGGTGTAGGCCTGTCTCCACCTGGCAGAGGGACCCTGTTAAAAACATCAGATGTTTGCACAGTTTTTGCATGATGAATACTACACTGAAAAATTTCTCTCACTGCGGGCCTTCCCCACCAGACCCACCAACCATGAGACAGCGTCTGTTTTACTCGCTGCGACATCCCTTGCCAGTGCAGCCTGACTCGGCGGACACTTTCTGGTTAATTGGTTGAAGAACATCCTAGATGGCTGCTCCTCTCTGCTTGGGAGCTTCATTTCTTTTCACAGGAGACCACCTTGCTCCCCCCCTGGCACCTGAGCCCAGGGCCCCTCAGCATCTTTCACAGAACCAGCCTCATCTCCCCTTCAATCATTAAAAATTTCAGTTAAAACAAAAAACAAAAAACACAGCAGGATGTCTACTGTAAGCTCCCTAGAGGGCCCTGGGTGTCAAGGCATTTGGGGACCAGGAGGGTCAAGTTCCCAGAAGTGAAGGGTGAGGGCCAAGTTGGGTAAGTTTCTTGACCATTCTGTGCTTCAGTTTTCTTCTCTATAAAATGTGGGGGTGATGAGGAATCCAACATCTTTGGATTAATGTGAGAACGACACAGTCCTTACAGAATGGTTAGAACCGTGCACGTCACACAGTAGGCCTGACAGACAAGCACACAGGCCTACAACAGAAGGTAGATTCAGAGATTTACCACACCAAGCTTTGTTGTAGAGCAGTGGCCGGCAAGCTTCTTCCATCAAAGGCCAGAGTAAATGTTTTAGCCTTTGCAGACCAGCCAGGCTGTACTGATAGCTTAAGTCTGCCGCTCCTGTAGCATCACCCAGGTAGCATAACTGTTCCTATAAGTCTTTTTGTCCGAGGTAGCTGGATTTAGCTACCGGTGAGAGTGGCTGACCTGTTTCTAGAACCAGGCAGTGCAGAATATATTCGGCCAGAATAAGAAAAATCTTCTAGTAGCCACCTTAAGAAGCCAGAGGTAAAATTGTAATATATTTATTAACATTTAACCCAGTGTATCCAAAACACTGCCATTTGAACCTGTCTTCAACTTAAAGAACTGTGATAGTCCTTCTCATACGAGTTCTCCAGAACTGTTTTACTCTCTGCACACCTCACATGGGCTAGCCATAGTTCGAGCTCTCAAGTGCCTCATGTAACTGCTCCCGTACTGAGCAAGAATTAGAGCCCACGCTAATGTAATACAGAAGACCTTGAATACACACCTATACCCCTAGCTTCTAAACACCAATCACAAACTGAGTGTATACAGTGCCAGGAAGAGTGGGCCCTACGTATCTGTTGACTGAACGCACATTAAAAGCTCCTCACTAATGACTAATACCACAGTGTGCACAAGATGCATTAAAACTGCCTAAACCCTGCGAAGAGACTAGATCAAAATGAAAGAAACGGTCCAAAGCTGGTAACAAACGAACAGTAACCTGGATCTGTTTGGATCTGCAGGTCTCTTCAGGCGCTGTGGACATTTTGCGGCTCCAGCAGGACCCACTACAGTCCCCTGGGCGCCCTCCCTCGGGGGAGAGATGGTACCTAGTGCTGGCAGGGGCGCCGCTTGAACGCTGCGCGAGCGCGCATTCATGGGGGTCGTCCCGGCAAGGAGCGAGGGCCCGCGCCCAGCCCGAGGGCCACTTCTGGCCCCGCGCCGGGAGTTCTGTGGTGGGGTGGCGCGCCTAGCAAAGCCAGCGGCAAGCGGGCTCCGGGGCCATCGGGCACCAGCCGCCCCCAGGGACGCGCCCTCCGCGGGGCCGGCGGCTGGAGGACCCGGATGCGGGCGGGCGTGTCCGGGCCGCGCCGGGATCCCCTGTAAATAGCGGCTCGCGGCGCCCCCGAGCAGACGCCGGGCCTGGCCGGAGCGGGGCTCACCGAGAGGCGCGGAGCGGCCCGGCTGCCCTCCGAGGACGGGCGTCCGGAGGGGACTTCCGGTTTCCAAGGCGGGACCACCGACGCGCACCAATGCGGGCCCGCAGACGGGAGGCTCTGCGCATGCGTGCGAGAAGTGGCGCCTGCGCAGAGCGCAGCGGGCGTGGCGCTTGGGCCCCTGCGGCGCGCTGGAGGAGAGGACGACGCGGGGGCGAGGGTAGGGCAGTAGGGCAGGAATGGACAGAAAGGAACCCACGAATGTCTTGGAGTGGCCAGATTTGTCGAACTACTCAAGAATGTACCCTTTATTTTGCACCCTTAGCGTGCATCTGTTGCTAAGGAAGTAACAGTGGACACTGACTGAGCTGATGTGCACCCTGCACCTCTCACCTGTGCACGTTCTTGCCCTAGCAGGTCTGATAAAACCAAAGTGCCGGTAGCCCTAGAGAATGTGGCAGCCTTCTTGACTGATTCGCTCCTTGTAAGGTAACTTGAAGGAAGTTTCAAGGAAGCAGGGCTTGCCCTGGATTGGATGCTTCCGAAAGCCGGGCGATTCGAGGGTTGTAATCAATCTTAGCTGGAAGGCAGGCAAGGGAGACCACGATTAAAGCCGTAATTAGTAAGGCAGCAGCAGCAATTCCATTTTCACAACTCAAACACTGCAGATCCACCCGACATATAACCTAAGAGACTTTTTAAGTTTCAAAAGGCTATAAAATGATTCAGTCAGAAAAAAATAAAAACGAGACACTTATCCATGTGATTTCTTGAGCAAGCTGGCCTCCCATCGGGTATAAGGGGAAACAAAATTTTCCCCTCTTCATTGTCTCGACACAGTGTCTGCTGGCACTCTTTGCTGCCCCCGCCCCCTTCTCCCCAGAGCTGGAACATCAGGCTTGAGCAAATCCCGTAGCTCGTTAATTTTCAAGAATGGGAAATCCTCCATGTTGTGATAGGTTCCTGGAAATGCAGCTTTACGTGGAATGATACATAATGAAATCAGGTCCTGGAATATTGTCCATTTTTTTTTAGGGATTTTTTTTTCTCACCAGAGTCATAATGACACAGTTTTGACAGTGTAAGGGAACAGTGTGAATTTTTAGGTCAAGTCCGTTGTAATCTAATATCAAAGGCTCAGTTAACCAATTCAAGCTCTGACCTCCCCTCAACTCAGGTGCTCAAGTGCTACCTGTAACCCTGAGTGTGGCAAAGGCTGGCATGTGAATCAGTTTCTTCACTCCTTGCTGAATCCTTCCCCTGCTTCCTCCACTATTTTCTGGTCATTCCAAGTAGAAGGCAGGAGAAAGGAGTGGTAAAAGAGTCTCATTTGATAAGTATTGTAGGTTGAAAGGTGCTTGCCAGAGGTACAGGGGATGGGGTGGGGTAAGAGGGTTCACCAGAGACAGAGTGGGGTGCAGAAGAGGCAGATCTACTGAAATGCACTGCTGAGGGGAGCAGCCGGGGAGACAGGAGCGGTCTGCTGCGCCACACGATCAAACTCAGACCACAGTGGCTGGTGATAGCTTGACAGTGCTGAGACTTACCCCCTGCCCCACCAGGGAGGCCCTCCGGGGTGAGCTATTGAAGGGAGGTCATTTACAACAGCCATTCATCAAAGTAGCAAGACCTAAGCGGAGACCTAGAATCACCGGCCATGTTGATTTCTAACGATGCACACCTGAGACCTAGAAGGCAAAGCTCCTCCCGTAACAAGTCAGCTGAGCACAAACCGTTGTCTGTGCCCTTCCCTTGCCTTTGGCTTTGCACACAGAGCTTCGCCACTGACATCACACATGCCCATGGCCCTCGTCTCAGGCTAAGTCCTGGGCCTGAAGCCAAGGGGAACCGTTTCTCAGAAAGGACAATATAGAGAATGACCACGCTCCTTCCAGGTCTGCAGAGTCTTCAGGGGGGAGTGTACACACCTGGCTGGAAGTGTACCATTCTGATTTATGGTGCTCCCGAGAAGCCTTTTTCCATTTTTGCCTCATGTCCCCCCACAACACTGTAGTTGCCACCTCACTGGACTCACACAATAGCGTTTATGTTAGTTGCTCTTCATGTCAAACCTGATCCCAAACTGCCCAGTTTTCTAGCCGTGAGGAGAGTGACGGCGCCACGCCTGTCGAGAAGTTGCTGATGTGCTGGCCAGGACAATGGCACATCCTCTCAATGGCAGCTTTGACCTGATGGGGTCCACATGGGGGATTCTGGAGGGTTTGCTCCCCGCTCCCTCCTGCTTAGCTCCTCTCCTGAGGGCTGCATCATATGCCCCACATGCGTGAGGAGGGGGCCACACGACCCAAGCTGGGCCATGCACACACCCCCTGAGTAGAGCCGAGTGAGTGGAGACCGCGTGGAGCCCCTTCACTCCGCAGGGGCGGCGTCCTGCTCAGCAAAGCCTTTGCTTCTGCTTCTGCGGCCCTCTTCGAAGGCTGGGTCACTGGTCTCTCCACGGCCTGCACGCCTCCTCCTGACGGCAACTTCCCTTCGCTGCAAGTTAGCAGAGCTGCTTCCGCTGCTTGCCAGCACAAGTGCTACCTGCCATGGAGCAGTGTGGTTTGACTGGAGAGGGGGCCCTGGCCCCTACCACAGGGCGCGCCAACAGCATTTGGCTCCTGTGAGCGCGGCGCTCCAGCAGGGTAGGGGTGAGCGCCACCACAGGGCGGCGCCTGCAGCGCGTTATTCCCCGCGGGGCCGAGGGGAAATCTTACTGTTCAGGGACCAGCCCAAGGGGACACAGGGCTGTCAACACTGACGGGGTGAACTGGGAGAGAACGAAAGCTCTGAAACCTTGGATTCTTCGAATCTTGGGATGACTACGACGGAAAGTTCTGGGTGCCCTGAAAGAAGGGGAGGAACGGAGTAGAGGGAGCGGGAGATGCAGAAGCCTGTGTCTGTGTGCGTGGCCGCCGCCAGGGGGCACTGCTAGGACACAGAGAGAGGACCGGAGAGTTGACCGTGCCGGGAGAAGGATCTCCTTCAGCAGGATCACGGCAACATGCAGCTGGGGCTCCGGAGGAAAAAGCTCTTCCAGAGGACCCGTGACAGGCATGGACGTTGGGGTGGGAGTAGAAACTTCTATCACTGTTTAGAGAGACTTAGAGATGTGCGGAAGGGGAGAGTTCTAGGCTCCCGAGCAGCAGGAATTTTACCTCAGGCCTCAGCCCCTAGGCTGCCAAACCAGCCCTCAGGCCTCCCACGCCATCGTGCCCCAGAAGCCAGCTGCTGTGGCCAGCCCAGCGGTATCAGGGGTGTCAGGTCAGAGGACATGTGGGGAAGAGTCACTGGTGGCTGGACTATGCCCGAGTCCGCAACTTCAGCCCCCACCTGCCCAGTACTGAGTGGAGAATGCACGGAGGGTCCCCAGGTGTCTGGCACTAACTTCCCTAGACAGTGAAGGTCCTGGAAAGAGGGCTGATCTGTTCCCTTGTAATGTATGGCTGGTTTTGAGGCGTAACACGAGTAGCAAAGCTGGCACGCAGACCCTCAGTGCGCGCTCAGTGATTCTCACCAAGGGAACATCTCATCCAAAAGCACGGAGTGGATGATGCGGAATGGTCCTGGAACTTGCCGGTGCGGAATCTCAAAACAGAATGTGCTTTCATCCTCAGGGATACACCCAGGATTCACTACCCTGTGGAGCTGTTCTGAAATTCGGAAGAAAAGAGAAGTAGAAAAGGCTGCACTGGGCTGTTTCTGTGTCCTGGCACTTGCATAATTTAGGTGGTCCTCTGATGCCTTAGATTCAACACTCGAGCTAATTTGTAATGCAGTGTTGAGGCCCAGTAAAGCAGTCATAGGTTCTTGTAATAGGAGGCAGTTTTACGGATGTTTAGGAATACGAAGATAGAGAAAAGAATAAAAGCCACATTTGCAGCCAAGCCAAAAAAAAAAATCATATTCATTATTAAACATAGAATCAACAACACATTTTCTTACTTAGAAAAACTTCAACCATGGCACAAGGTTATTATTACCAAGAATATCAATGGGCAAGTGTGTCTGTAACAAATCGGGCCAAGACACTCAGGTAAAAAGTAATTGTGGTGTCAGAGTTTCCCAGAAGTGCCATGGGAGTCAAATAGCTGGACATTTTTCGTTTTCTTCTCCCCTGCTTTTTTGATATCCAGAATGCACAGCGAGGCTCGCCAACTCGTGTAGACAAATCGAACACACTGGGGGAAGAAGCTGAGCAGGCACGTCGGCATTTTATAAATTCAGACACGAGTGAGGAGATAGCATTATATTTAAAGCAAACGCTGGTGTGTTTTAATGAGAAAAGGCATCTTATAATTGTAGTACAATGCAATTTTGCATTCTGTGCTTCTAAAATGGGGCATCTATGATGTAATATCAAAAAAAAAAAAACAAAAAAAAAAACCAAAACCAGAGAACCAGCACAGCACGCTAACTAGCCAGTCACGAAGCGCATCAGCACCGTTTGGCCGCCCGCAGATCACAGAGCCGGACACCAGCCAGAAACCAGCAACACGCCGTCCACCGCGATCTCTCCAGTCTTGCCCTTGCCACGCTCTGCTTCGAAAATGATCTGCTGGAGGAGAGCGAGTACAAGCTTGATTTCAACATATTCAAAACGACGATACAGTTAAACTTTCTGAGAGTAATTTCAGCCTAACTCGGGTGTCCCTGTGGTGCGGCCCGGGACCAGTCTCTGGGCTGGCGCCAAAGCAGTGTCTGCACTGAGCGAGCTGTGCTCGGAGAACACAGGGTGACAGCAGCTTCTAAGCCGATCTGGAAAGCTCTGGGAAGTGGAGACGCGCAAGGCTGAGGAGAACGAATCGGTGTGTGTGTGTGGGGATGCTGGCTTTGTGACGGAGGCCGACCTACACTTCCGTCCGTAGTCAGGCTTCAGGTGTATTTTATTATTTGTGTTTAATTTTTATTGATGTATTTTTTACACTGTTGTTCATTTTGTACAATGTTTGATTTCCCCTCTCAGGTATAAGTCCCATAAAATCGCCACCACCAAGACACCCGAGGCCATCACCCCAGTCCCTTGTGCTCCCGATTTTTGGTCCCTCCCCGCCCCTCCCCTGCTGAGTATCTCTGATGTACAGTTGCCTGCTGGTTTTGTCACTTCCCCCGAATCTCTTGTATGGTCCGCTGTGTTCCTCCTCTAAGCGAAACCATCGGCTGTATTGTAAACCAGAAGTCAGACTCGGATTCAAGTGCGACAAGTAAATAAATTAACAACTGACACTTGGGACCAGACTTCCTGTCTGAGGCTGATTACCAAGAAACAGGATTTTACGTGTGCTAACTAATCTATTATCCTTCACGAGCAAAGCAGAAACGGAATCCCAATCCTTGCAGCTACCCATTGCTCTTTGTCTTGTCAGCTTTCCTGTATCAGCACTCGGGGGCGGGGCGGGGGAGCTCGGGTCACACAGTACCAGCCTGGCCTCTGCACAGATACTCTGCACAGGCTGGAGACGAGGCCCTAGGGAGAGCCCCAGGGGAGAGCCCCGTGGATACGCCCTGTGGGCAGACTGACCCCGACAAAACGCTGACTCCAAGGCTTGAGCGAGCGTCCCTGGCTGTGAGTGCCGTGACTGCCGGGGGCTGGGGGGCCTGGGCGGGAAGACCGCAGGCTTGGCCAGCTGCTGCTGCTCACGGCCTGGCACCTTCCTTCCACGCCTTTCATCTTAGCCCTTCCAGGGCAGGAAGCCGGAACATGAATAGGTCAGCTTTTCTGAGCTCCGTGAGCCTGTCTAGGGCACCCCAGAACCCGAGGTGTTCGTGGGAACCCCAGCCAGCAATCTCTGTCAGTTCAGTTGTAAGCACACATAGAAGGTGACCTTCTAGCTTCCGTTCATCGCAATAATGCCGGGCATGGAAGGAATGAACACAACGTTTACCATTTAAGGGAGTCATGGCCTGGCTCGGGCGGATGTTGGTGAGAGGCGTCTGCGCAGCTCCGACCATCTGCACAGAACGTGGCATGCACGTGCCGGGCAGAGGATGTCAGTTCTGGCACTGACTATCGGCACTGATGAACCGCCTGGCCCGTTTTGCACACTTTCCACTCTCTAAGAGGAGGGAAAGCATCTTACTCATTTACTCATGATTCGGTACTTCTGGAGTGTCTTGTCTTGTTTGTTAAATCGTTAAAAGAGGATGTAAGTGCCTCTCTTCCTCCTTTTTCCCACTTACGCTTTTGGCCACGCCCGTGCCTTGGCAGAACTGCATTGTCCCCGTCTTCCAGCGGTCACTCTCGCTCCTGGCCTCCTCCCACGTCAGGGTGTTGCCGTTGCACTTCCCAAACACTCGGAGTTTCCCTACTTTGTCTCCAGCCAGCCGGTAATGGAAGAGCAAACAGAAGTAGCGCTGGGGCTGCAGGTCGTGGAGGAGAAGCTTTAATCGGCCGATGTCCTTCTTCTGCCCCGCCGAGGCGGGGACGGCCATGTAGTAGCCGACAGCTGCCAGAGGAGAAAGAGGCAAAGTAAGTGAGGCCACTGCACAGGGCTGGACTATAGAATTGAAAAGCTACAGAAAATTCAGGCGAGTCTCCGGTAGGGAAAGCCGACGTCCTTTTCATTTTGAACATAGGAACAAAAATGCCACTGAAATGATTTTAGGGGTCACAGAGCTGACTTCTTTGTTGCATAGAGAAGGAAACTGCGGGTCAGAGAGATGGAAGAACGTGTCCACATTCACAAGGCTTCGCAGTAGAGGCACCGTAGGACTGACCAATGGTTGTTTAGTGCTACAGGTAGCTTGCGGCTGATGGAGAACTTGTTCCAGGTGGCTATCTGGATGAACGGTGTGATGGCCACTCTGCCGCCTGGGCCACTGGTGGTGTTTAAACCACAGCACACCTGAATTTGTACTCGTGGTTTCAAGGAGCTTCACCACCATGTATATAACATGTCACCCCAAGTTTGGAAAGAAGGTGAGGAACGTGCCTCCTATTTCCCAGTATCTATCTTTGCAGTAGCTTTAACAGTATGGATTTTATGCCATAAATGTAGTCTATGGCATCTTTTAACCAGGGGTAGCAGACTTTTGTGCTTCTCTAACCTGGTTGTGGCTTTGGTGAACTTGAACAAAAACATGTGAAGACTGGCGCCTGAAGAGCTGATAAGAAAGAAATCCTCTAGCAATAGAAGGGGACGTTCAACCCAGGCGCTCGGAATGTGGACTTGGGGCACTCTCTGTGGCTCTGGTGGATTGAGGGCTGAAGCTTCCTAACCTTCAGGTTTAGGCTGAGGTTATATTTCCTTTCCAGATTTATTTCCCCATCAAAAACAAAAACAAACAAACAAACCCAACTACAGAGCATCAGCGCTGGTGAGTTGGAGGAAAGGAACATTTTCCTGCCTTTTCCTCATACTCTTCAACCTCACAGGAATCCCAACACTCTCTCTCGGCAGCAGCAGAGAGAAGAGTCAGGTGTTGGTCATGACAGGGACACGCAGTTCTACGAAATGCTTCATGAGGGGGTTCTGTGCTTGTGCGAACATCATGGAGTGTGATTACACCAATCTGGGGTGGGGGGTTGCCTACCACATGCCGAGGCTGGAGGGTGTCGCCTGCTAAGCAATGCTTGATTGTATAGAAGAAGTCTGCTGGAACATCCTTTGTGGGGAGAGGATGTGGGTGGGAGAGGAATGAGGGAGATAATCTGTCAAACCAAGGCAGTCATCTATCAAAGGAGACTTCAGAAGATTTAATAAAACAACCCTGACCCCACAATGATAGGGAGAATAGCCGCACTGCCCATGGAGAGTCCGCTTTACCTGGGCCACCAGGCAGAACGTGAAACAGTGAAATCTAAATACCATTTTCTCGATCAGCAGGCTTCCAGTCAAAATCATCTTCGGTATCTTGTTTCCAGTCACAGACCCCATGGTCAAAGCTACAGTCGACTGAGACATTTAAATCTGCTAAGAAAAAGGGTACATTTCATAACATAAAGAGCATTAGAAAAACATTTGGAGCTGGGGAAGGCAGTTCCATGCTTTCGGTTGCATGGAGTGCAGATTAGGGCATCTGAAATTGCTCTTAAGGTAAGTTGCAAACTAGAGACCCTGATTCAATTTAAAATTGTGCAGGCATTTTAGAAAATTCTGTTCTAATATTTTTAGGAAGAAAAAAATGGGCAAGATATCCATGAACAAAGCAAAACAGAATAGAGGCAATTGTTTGTAAAATTCAGGCCAGAAAATATCTCTCCTCCCCAAATAAGCTAGAGACCCTGCCAGAACTTTGTAGATGATCTGTGGAATACTAAGTTTTGTGTGGTCCATGGCTTACCGAGATTGGTCTGGCATATATTGATAAAAGACAACTTTTTTTTCTTTATCTTGTTATTTCAACATTACAGTTCTAAAGTTGCCACCACTCAATTAGATCAAATAAACGGACACACAGCCAGATTACATTGCTATTAGGTTGTCTATGATCAAAAGACTGCCTTTAAGGTATGTCAAAGAAATATCACAATTGAGTCAGCTGGTTTGAACCAGTGTCTTTGGTTAATTGTATGTAGATCAGGGGCCAGCAACCTAATATCCTGGCCCACTGCTTGCTTTTGTAAATAAAGTTTTATCAAAACTCAGTATACCCATTCATTTACATATTGTCTATGGCTGCTTTTGAGCTACCATGACAGAACTAGTAGCTGCAACAGAGAATGTATGGCACACCAAGCCTAACATTTATTATTTGGCCCTTAATGGAAAAAGCTTTTTGACCACTGGCATAGATAAACAGAAAATTCCACTGAGGAGGTACTATGAGATGCTTCTGATTTGTAACGAATGTTAGCCTCTGGCTTTGACTTTGGGGTTTTGACTATTAATGCCGAGGAATAAAGGACTGGCCAGGGAAGGAATCCAGATTCTCTCCAGTTCTACAACAGATGCTGCTGGTTGGATGGCCAGTGGCCACAGTGATGTCCTTCCCTGCGTGTATGCATGCCAGGAGTGCCAGGAGTAAACACACACTAGGGAGCAGCCCCCCACCCCATCAATGTCAGGAGGCGGTGGGTGTATAAATACCCAACCCCTTGCTGCTCCAGTTGACCATTCTGGGCCACATGCTCACCACTGGCTCCCAGAGTTTCCCATGGGGCTCAGCTCCTGTTGCCCACAGTGGACATGGCTTGACCATGCACCCACTTTTGATTGCTTCCTTCTCTTCCCCATCCCGCTGCCTCACTGCCAGCCACCGAGTGCTGGGATCACCCGATACATAAAGCTCCTGCACACATATTCTTGCCTCTGCGTCTGTGTTGGAGGAACCTAGCCTGGAACAGCACCTTCTCTCTCCTACACAGGTGAGAGTGGTGGGGAGAGGAAACCAGCCTTACTGTCATCACCAGAATTCAACAGGTGAAGGCCAGCTGTTTTCATACCAAAACTGTGTCACGATGTGATCATTTTCCTTGGGTTGCTTATAAGCGAAGCAATGATTCATGAATAATCATCGCACCCTTGGAGGCATGAAAACAACACAGGATACCATAAATGCACAGACTTGGGAGAGTGTCATTACCTTTGCGTTCCAGTTTGGAAACTACAGCTTTTTTGGGTATTAGAACCAGATCGAGTTCATCTGCTTCATTCACCTTGGGGGCTGATAAAGAATACGTGGTCAGTTGAGAAAAACCCCCAACTCCCACACACTAAGAAGGTATGAATGAATCATAGAATGCGAGGGGTCATCAAACTTTCTACTTACAGAATATATCAGAGCACTAGTTCTAGTATCTCCATGTAGAAATCATCTTTCAAAGGCTGCCCAGGTGACGTAAGCACTGACACCACTAACGTGCCCCTTGTCACAGGGTTTTGAAGTACTTTCCTTCTCTACTAAGGAGATACTGCCATTGCTATGCTAGCTCTTGTCTGAATGACACGTGCCTACTTTTCATTTGATTAAGTTCAACGGTCAAGGGACCAAGAATGGAGGAGGCAAATATAGAGGCAGCAACAGCTGCCCAGAGAATAGGAGGCCGGTGGGGGGGGGGGGCTAGCACTTCTGGTGGGTTCTGCCCAGCAACGAGGTCAAAGCACACCTACCCAGTACACAACTTCAGGCCCCCTATCGAATGTCCTCACAACAGTCTATTTTGACTTTTGAAATGGCAGCCACACCCACACCGCTGTGAAGTCCCTTTTCATCCCGTCAGGCTGCAAAAACAGCACTTTCATGAATTGGAAAGGGGGAGTAGCTCTCTGATTTGGGGTGTATGGCAGGGAGAGCTGGAAGACAACAGAAAGAGGGTCCCCCACCACAGGGGAGACCTCCGGGTAAGGGGAGAGGACTTGCACTCCTTGACTCCCATCCCAGCAAATTTGATTTGGGATCTGTGCACAGTGCTCCTTTCCGGGCCTGACAGGAAACCTGCTCCTTAGAACTTCAAGCCCAAGTCATTTCACTAAAGGTGTGAAATGTCTTTCCTTCTTCCACTGGCCCAGAAAAACTACACGTCACTTTCTGTGACAGGGGAACAACCAGGTGATACTCACAGAACACGTCTCCTCGAAGCCGCCGCTCCTGCTCTGTGTGGCTCTTCGGGGTCTTCTCGTCGCTCTTCTCTTCCTCAAGCCCCTCTCTCTTTCTCTCCATGCTCTCTCTTTTTCCCCCGGTAGGTTTCCCAGCTCTGGAAATTGTTGATTCAGAGTCGAAAGGGGCGGACTCTGTGATGACGTTTTCCATTTTCTCCTTCTTTTTCATGCTGTTTTTGTGAGCAAGCAACTTCTTGATCCTGTCCTTGATGGCCCCAGGAGCTCTGAGCACTTTCTTCACAGAATCTTCAGGGATAACTAACACAAACAGAGACAGGCGTGAGGGCCGCGCACAGAAGAGCAGGCTCACTGGAGCGCAGTAAGTAACGCCTTCCAGAGGCCACTGCAGGAGGCGCCACCTCCGTGTTTAGGAAGAATGACATTGGCTCCTATTTAAGCAGGCATGGCCTGTCTCTTGCCATCTCATGGCCTGTCTCTTGCCATGTCGCTGCCTTAGAGGCCACGCTTCGTTTTGCTCCCCACATCACGTGAGGGCAACACCCGCTCTGACTCCCAAGTCAGGCCACAGACCCCCCCCCAGGCGTGGCTTTCCCAGGCTCCTCTCCTCTCTGCTTCCACACTGGATGCCCCAGTCACTAGGCCGGCAGCCCTGGAGAGCTGTCCGCATCTGACGTTCCAAGATCCCAGCTCTCACATTAGTCGAATCATTCAAATGGCCAACAATGGACCATGGTGGCCTCCAGAGATGGTAACTGGCTCATTGTGTCCACACCCGACTGCCTTCCCTATTCTCTCCCTCCTTTCAATTTCTTCACCTCCACCAACTGCTGAAAACAAGACATTTTATTTCTTGGACACTGACAGAGAAGCTGTTATACTTGCTGTTTTACATTCTCTTGCCATGTCTTTGTCATTAAGCTAAATATTTTTTTAAATGCGCCTCTAGGTTGATCCCTCATACACCCCCCACTCCTGGGGTGAGCCAATGACCCTTGGCGGAAAAATGTTAGTGGAGAGGGGTCCAAGCAATACAAAAAGGGTCATCTGCCCTGCCAGGACAGAGCAGCCTTGGCGGGCAAAGCACAAGAATGGACCTGTTTCCACTCCTAAGCCCACGACAGCTTTATTCCTGCACTGGGCAGGGCTTCCTTTCCACGAAACTGGCTCAAGGTCCTTGAGCTCTAGAATCCAGAGATACACGTCTGTCTCCCAGGGAATAGCTAACGGGTATGAACCTATCTCTACAGTGATGCGACCTCAAATAAAAAGATATATAAAAAGATTTACCGTCTCATTGTACCTTGTCAAAGCATTTTCTAGAGTCAACTATATTAAATGCCTGAGCGACACACACGTCCACTGCATTTTGGATAATCAGAAAGAAAAGAAAGAATGCTTTGAAAATACTGTGTTTGTAATTGCAACCTTACCGGCGCTTGGAAAGCAAGTAAAGTTGTCATCTCGAAAGGGCTACACTTCCCTTTCCAACAAAGTTTCTCAGTCATTTATCACCATGACAGCCTGTGGCTCTCGGCCCGAAACCCACTGTTCTCGTACAATCATGACTCGCTGTCCTGACCTTTGGATGGCCTGTTTGAGCGCCTCTGCCAGAGGTTACAGGTTCCGTGTTGTTAATGCTCTGATCATGCAGACCATTCTCTGCAGGCCGCCCTGTATAATTCAGTCCATGTCACCCCAATCTTTTCCCAGGACCCAACGTGAAAAATGAACAGGAAATGTCCCTCTCCTGAAAATTTCTCTTATGTAATCAGTAACATAAAACGAAGGCCTTTAGTTAGTAATGAGGTGAGGGTTTCCAGCAGGCCAGGCAAATCTAAACAGCCACTGTCAGTTTCTGCTTTGGAGTTTCAATTTTTCCTATTGAAAAAAATCAAGACATCATAATTTGGGGAGGTCACCAATTTCATTCTCTTAGTCTGCAAGGCAAGCTGGAGCAAAGATTCAAACAGCTATGCATGTGCCTGGGGGTGAATGGATAGATCTGGTTCATGGAGATACATATTGCCATTTCCAACGTGACCTAACAGGCGGTTGCTTCTCTTCTTCTAAGATTTTATTTATTTTTGGATTGAAAGTTGGGTGTCTTAAAACTCTTCATTACTGCATCATCTTGGAAATATAAAAATGTGGGAGGAAGTTGCAGCTGGGTCTTTGGCACATTTTGGGGATGTCAGATAAAAAGCAGGAAAATTCCAGAGTTTTCTGTCTTCTGTAGCTGAAGTTGACAGCTTCTCTAGGGAGAGATTTTTTTTTAAGTATCCACTTTGTCAAAAACGTTTGTCTGCCTAAAAATCTTTACTTTGCTTAGAGGAATCACTATGATGTGAGAACACCGTCCCCAGGGGGAACGAAACTCCCCCGTTCATTTACCCATGTTTAGTTCACCAGACCATTGCTAATCCTTGGCAGGAGAAACACGCTGCTCATCTGGGCTTTGGACATGGGCTCAGGAGGATGACAAATGCACTGCACCGCAGGCCCCAGCAGTCAGGAAGGGTTAGGATGGCGGAAACACTGACCGGGAGAGTTTGTCAGGGAGGCCTCCTCCCAGGAGCAGCCAGACTCACAGCTGCACCTGTCCTGGGGTTAAGCACATAGGCCTGGGGCCCAGTTCTCTGGGTTTAACTCCTGGCCCCTCATCTTCTAGCTGTTATGTCCTTAAACCAATAGTCAACTTCTCTCCCCATTTATAAGATGGGGATAAGTGGGCTTTTATGGGGTTTAAAATGAGTGAATATATGTCCATGATTAAGATATTCCAGCTGTGTTTGCTATTATTTGTAGAATTCATGACCAGAATGTTTAAAACATTATTTACTAAGTCAAAAAAATTTCTAAGCCATAACTCCAAGCATCTGGTATTGTTATAATTGAAAGGGGAAAAAAACCTGGAGTGACCTGGTTCTACCAAAACCTATGTTTTCTAAATAAATTGAATAAATCAGAAGCACATTCCCAAAGACAAAGAGAGTCACTTTCAATGAGAATAACTGTTGAGTTTGGTAAAAGGAGTATTATTACTCCTACTCTAAGTGCCTGCTTCAGGAGTGTTTGATATATTCTGGGCTGGAGCTAAGCCCTTTCTTTGGACTTTCACTGATGACAAATGAATTATTTCATGTAATCATCACAGCAATATTAAGGGTTAGGCACTACTGTCTTCTATTTTGTAGATAAGAAGATGGAGGCACAGAAAATTTCGGTCAGTTGTTCTCAGTCCATGCCAGCAGGCTAAGGGGACAAGAATCAAACCAAGGTCATTCGATGCAAGAAGCCATGTTCCGGGTAAGTAAATGATAGCCCAACCTGGACCTGACCATCCCTGGCCCAGTGGGGCAATATCTCGCTTTGATGTTCTTGAAATGAGGTATAGCTGCCATCAAATTAAGAACAAATTATTTTGCAGTATATTGCTAATACTGACCTATACTGAAGAGTGAAAAATAGATGCACTTCTATATTTGGGGTGCTCCTTCCTCAGGGTATGGTTGGTGGGTGAAGTTGTGACTCACACCTCTTTACTACTGCACCACAATGTCTGAACTTTTGCAAACAAGTGAGGTCCTGCTAGCTCAGTGCTCTACACTATATAATGGTGATGCCTGTGCAGACACACGTATGTACAAACGATATAACATGGTATAACGCTGATGCTATTTAGAGGTGATTCTCTTTAAAAAACATGCTGCCTTCTTTTGGACGATGTGGTTCTAGGGACTCAAAGGACCAGGAAGATGACTCCACATTAATTCTGGGAGGTTCTTCCTAAACTCTTCCATCCTCAGACCTAGGGTTATGGGGTATGCTGCCTACTTCCTGAAACAAGAGCTTTTGCATGCACCAGGCCTTTACGCCTACCAAATTGCAGTTAGTGGTAGCTGGGCTTTTACAGTAATCCTGACAACCACTGCCCCGGCCAGCTTTACTGAGCATCTACAAGCACCCAGGAGAGCGAAGCTTTCTACTTATATCATCTCAGTTAAAGCTCACAGTGAAGGGCCTCCTTGGCCCCTAGGGTTTAAGTGTCAGTGCTATCACTCCTACAGCCTGAGTTCGATCCCTGGCCAGGGAGTGACCCACATGGCGCAGCAGGCCTTTCCTGACCCGCCCACTGCTCCTCTCAACAGTGGATTTCAGTCATTCTGCCTGTTCTGCTCCCCACTCTGTTTCTGGTGGATCCTCTCACGCCTGAGCCTCTGACCTACACACCAATTCTTCTACACAAAAATAAAAAGAATTGAAAAGAATGAAAAAATAAATCTCCCAGTAAGCCTATTAGAGAGGTGTTTAACTTCATGCAGGGTCCCCCAAGCAGAACCCAACACAAGGATGTGGGTACAGGTGATTTAGCCCAGGAGGCAGTGTGGGGGAGGGGAGAAGTGAGATAGGCAGGGAAAAAAGCTGAAGAACGGCGCCTCTGCGGGCAGGTCGCCACTGCGGGGAACGCGAGTGCATTCTGGGAAATGTGCAGATTCACATGGCTCAAAAGCTTTCGTGGCCCCAAACAGTTGCCCATGATGACCGCCGCACCTCGCCCTGGCCTAACTCAGCATCTTTTTTCTCTTAAATCTTATTTTCAGTATGAAAATATCTAGACTGGAAAAGTATTTAGAATCTGTGCTGCTCTTCAAAGCTTTGTGCCCACAGCTTCAGTGGGTATTGGAGATGGGATCCAATTAGCAGAGAAGACAGGCTGAGGCAAAGTTAAAATCTCCAACACTGCATGCATGGGTTTGTGCTTGCGCGCGCGCACACACACGGAGGGAGAACTATGAATGGAGGAAGGACATGGAGAAAAGTCTCTTGGGAACAGCTAAGACGCACGGCCAAAGGCTACTCACATGAACACCTGAGGCCACTGTCTCTATATCCCTATATCACTTGAAGGCTCCTGGGGCATTGAGGCAGTGAGCATGGCGCCTGCATGTGTGGCTATTTGCAGCACATTCGTTTATATCTAGAAACGCGAACATTCGTGCGAACAACTTTGTGACAATGGGGATCACTGCGATCCCCTCTTATGCTGGAGCAATTCAGGCACCAGTGCGCACCAGCCCTGCCAGCTGTGCGTGCCCCGAGAACCGAGAGGCGCCCCAACTCCTGGCGCCTGGGCCCACAGCCTGGGCTTTACCAATGCCTGGAACCTGGGAACTCAGCAGACTGTGGCTCACCCCCACGGCCCCAGCATTATCTCCTGCTGCTCAGTGTTACCTAATCTGCCAGTGGTTGGGTGCTGTTCTTCATGTTTTCATCTAATTCAGAAGTCAGTCACTATCAGAAAGGAAATTCTAGACATGGGAGAGCTTGGCTGCTGCTCCAAGCTGGGCAAGAAGCCAGAGACATCACCTGAGTTTACAGTCATCATGTTCCAGGGCTGCCAGGAGCAGGGGTCAGGCTGGTCTGAGCTCGTCCGCTGGATTTCCACTAGGAAAGTTTGCCGAATGCACCCCCAAGTGAGGCTCATTAGCCCTTTCCTCCACCCTACTTTCTAGCGAAGCTTTTGCAGACACACACACACAAAGCAGCCTATTGTTTTTAACTAAGCCACAGAGAGAGCTCAGATGCTAAGCCATTTTTAAAATCATGAGGGCTTGTTTCTTTGGAAACTCGCCCTGTGGCTCCCTACCCTGTGCCCGGAAGGCAGGGCCTGCAGAGTTCAAGGGGTGCTCCTGCCAGGGGTTTCTGGGTGGAGGATGGGATGAGGGGGAGCAGGCCCAAGCCCCCCAAAAGCGTGGACTTTCCATGCTCGTCTCAGATGGCCTTGGCGGTTGAGGGCTTTGAGGGAAGGGCTGTCGTGTCTCCACAAGATGGTTCCAAACCCAAGGAGCAAGCGTTGCTCCAACACAATTATACGGGACACACCCTGAGAAATGTTGAGTTGAAAGAAACCCTACCGTGGCCCCATCTGTGAGCTGTCCAAGGCAGGCATGCACAAATGTAACTTCTGTGATTAGAAATCTACCAGGAGCCTGAGTTTTCCTGCCCCGTGATCTATCCAGGACAACGGTGATGTGTCCAGTGGACCCCCCCCAGCACCCCACTGCACTCATTCGTTGAGACTTGGGGTCCCTAGTCACTAAGCTGTTTAATTTCACAGGGCCCAGGCCATTAGCTGAGTGATACCAACACCCTAGGACAGAGGCTTTGGTGATTGTGGAATGGGGCGCATCCTGAGGGGTGGGGAGTTGAAGCGATGAATGGGCTGAGAGGAGAGAAGAGCAAGTATCTGCATCTCCTTCAGACATTTGTCTAAAGAGAGTCCTGATGGAGACTGCTAGGAAGCAACCACTAAGCTCAAGAGTAAGCCGGCAGGTTACTCTTCCTCTCATCAGACAGAAACACGGGCATTCCCACTTTCAGTTGCACACACAAAGAGAAAGTCCAAAATATAAACCAAATATCTGAAAAGCCTAAAACCACCTCACAGTATCTGCACTCGGCGTAGAGCTACCTAGCTACACTGAACTTGCTCATTTAAGTCTTTATTGACCTGGTTTTACATATTTCTCCTCACCCGAGCTCTTCCACATGCCCGCAACTTTAACAATGTATTTTTTTGGTCTCCAACGGGCCAGATTTCAACAATTGCTCAACGTATGAATTGAATTGCCTGGACTACCTGTAGAGCAAGCCTTCAGGTTTCGGGGGGGGGGGAGCAAAAAGAGGCACCACCGACCTTACCTACACAGTCATATCGGCCACCGATGTACTGCAGTTCGAAACCAACACGACACTTGCAGTAGTAGCTCCCGAATGTGTTGATGCACCGTCGATTGAAGGGGCAGACGGCTCTCTGGGCAGCACACTCATCGACATCTACGATGCAGAACCACGAGTGTCAGCGATTACAGCAAAAGCAAAACACGTGCGCAGGCATACGCACGCACATCAGCACACAGCACACGCGGCCACACTCGCAGGTCCTTTGTGGCAAGCTCTGATTAGTCTGCTGCCTTTCTGTACAGCCCGATTTAGAGCCCTGTCTCCCTGTGGTGTCGCCACTATGTTCCCATCTTCCCACCTGTTGGGCCCTGGCTGTATCTGCCACTTGGTACATACACATCACATGCTTACTGAGTGAACTCAGATTTTCCCAGCTATGTATGTTGTATAACCTATACAATTTTTTAAAGAGTCAGAAAGCTACACCTTAGGCAGACTGAATACACACTTACATTCTCCCTGTAACAAAACAATGATTTCACGGGCAAGTCCTCCAGGGCTCACGTAGTATTGAGGGAATTCACAATACATAACACCACAATGTGGTTTGCTAACAGTGCATTTCTCCATAAATTGTGGGTCACATGCAAAGATGCAATGATGCCACTTTGGATGCCACTATTTGTAAGGACTATTGCGAGGCATGCCCCAGGCAGCAGTACTCACCAAACCATTTTGACTCAAGGTTCTACTTTAACTTTTGGTATCGGGTCCAACAGATGCTGGATGGTTATTTTGGATCTGTGTTTAAACATACATGTTGGGGCTGTCTTATTACACTCTTTGCATTCTTAAAAGAATCAGGAAGTGTTGGCAATGGAATATTACTCAGCATTCAAAAAGATAAATGCATGCCTTTTGCAGCAACACGGATGGAGCTGGAAAAGATCATGCTTAGTGAATAAGCCAGAAAGAAAGGGGAAAATACCAGGTGGTTTCACTCATAGCAGGAGCATAAAGGACCTGGGGAGAAAATAATAATAATGAACAACTATATAGCAGAGACATTTTATGGGGGTAGAATGGAGAATGGGATCAAAAAGTGGGGGGGGTAAGTGCACTGGACTGTGGTGATGGCACACAGGTGATTTGGTGATTTGGTGATGGCACACAGGAATTATGCAACTGAGATGGGAAAAGGCACAAAATGATGTAAAAAAAACTATTATATTATTTTAAAAAAAGGATAAATGCTAGAAATAACAAAAATAATTAGTAAGTGTTTAACTGACAAAAATGATCTTTCAGTGATCACTTTCATGCACACCACCTGATAAAAAAGGCACTGATAAATCAGAGGTGGTGAACATTGGGATTCAGCTTGTTCAAGAATTATCCTTGTCATATCTTCTTTTGCTAGAGTACTAAGTCTGTTACTCCAATGAAGTCTCTGATCACTTTCGAAGAACAGAGACAAAAATTTAATATACACCTTTTAAAAAGCGTTTAACTCCTTTTGGACCTATTCGGCTGAGTTTTCTAAATACAGTTATCAAAATAAGTACATTTAGGATAAATAAACATCCAGCAGAGTTGACTGCAAGATATTTCTATTGCAGTAGAGAAGTAAGACTATTAAATCACATTTGCTTATAGTTAAATTAAAAAAGATTGTGCATTCTTTTAACAGTCTCATTCGGTTGGCTGTGTGTACTGATGTGATGGAATTCAGTACAGTGCTATGAGCATGCGCATTTTGGTGGCTGAAAACAATTCAAATCACAACGGAACTAGGGCACAAAGTGCAAAAAGTGCTGCTTGTAACCTAGTCTTTGGGGGGCCCCGGGGGGGGCCCGTCCATAGTCCCTTGGCACCCAACATTTCCACGCCAGCCTAAGGCAGCACCCGTGACATCCTATTTCGGTCTAGGCTGGAGTGCCGGGGAGTCAATGCCCGCAGCAGGCCCCACCAAAAGGGCAAGGGCTGTGCCCAGTGCCGTCGGCCCAGTGGGAAGAGTCAGAGGCAGCTTCCCTGGTGCCCAGAGGTAAAGGGCACTTAAGCTGCTCCTGGCACCCTTACTGTGGTGCCTTCCTTCTCGGGGCCTCTCCCATACCACGGCCAGCGCTCCTGGCAGCCCCTCCCATGCCAACACTTGCTCAGCACCAGCTTAGCCATCAAATAAGAGAAGGAAGAGCAGGAGACTCCAGAGCCGTGTTGTTGCTTGACAAACTGTCAGCTGTCAATGAAGGCTTTACCTGTCCCTTGAATTAATACCATTCATTTAACCTGTTTATGTTCTCCAAGCTCGATTAATTATGGAACACTCAGTCCACACAACGCAAGCAAGCTTTAAGGACAGTGAGTGGCTTCCAGAGGGGAAGGGGGGAGGGGGGAGATCATTGAGACACAGGGGGCAACGCGAGAGTGAAAGGCAGATTTCACTTTTAACCGTGAACTTCATGTAGTCAAGACACATGCTGATTCCCAACGACGAAGGCATATCATCTGATAACGCAATGTGCAAAAAAAAAGACGCTATGAAATTTGGTTGGCTGCTACCTTAACCGACACAGAAGGTATAGACCGCTTTCAATCACCTTATATCTGAGCAAAAATAAGTACATATTTTTCCAGGAAGCTACTAGCTAGACCCGGAATACAGCCCGCTGGCTCTGGATGCCGGCAGTAGGTGATGGTCTTGCCAGGGCGGGGAAATGGACCACAGCGTGCAGGCGACACGCGGCCTAAAGTGACGTTCTTTCCACCGCGCGTTCGGCAATTCCAAAGAACCAGGAAGTGCCTTTGCTAGCAGCCCCGAGATGCGTTTAGACAGCGCCCACTGGAGCTGAAAACAGCGGCCTCCGGAACAGACTCCTCTACTTCTGGGGCTGGCAGCCGCTAGTGCACACGCGGACGGTGGCGGAGGGGGTGGTGGAGCGAAAAGGAGGAAGTCAGCCGAGGGGGGAGGCGGAGGCGGGGGCGGGGGGCGCTGTTCTACCGATGCAGACTCTTCCACCGGGCGCCAGGCGGAGCCCCGAGGACGGGCACAGGCAGCGCGGCCCTTCCTGGGCGTCCTCACAGCCGTACTGGCAGTTCGTCACGGCGCACGTCCGCAAGCCTGAAACAGAGGGAGGATTAGCCTTTTCCTCCGAGGTGATAAAAGGTGCCCACCGAGACGCGGTCTTGGAATTCTGGGGCTGAACTGGAACACGGGGCAGGGTACCAGGCTCCCGCTGCACCCAACTGCAGAGCCAGTGCACTGGTGTCTGGCAGCCTCTGGGCTGGGCCCCGCGTGCTCTGTGCTGTTGGCAGTGCACCGAGCGTGACACTCTGCCCGCCTCTGCGACCAGGCCGCCTCTCTCTCCTCTGGTGGGAGCGAGAGTCACTCCTCTGGGGCAGGTGGCTGGCTCCTCTAGGCCAACAGCCACCTCTGAGCTAGTCGATCAGCAAGCAATTAGGGGAACCGGGCCCACCGCAGCGCTCCGCACACCTCTAGCTTCTCCGAGGGTCACTTCTGTCATGAGACGTAGTCTCCCAGGTCTCTGTGTTAAAATACGTGGTGGCAAGGACTGATCAGCTGCCTACTAGCCACTCCGAACCCGCTCTTCTCTTGCTTCACCCATCACTGAGGCGGGAAAGCCAGCTACCTGCTTCTCTTCCAGCTCCCCCTGCAGCAACCAAGCAGTGGCCGTGGGACCTGCTTATGGCCAGAGATAGAAAGAAGTCTTCCCGGGCCCTCCCTGGTGGCGCAGCGGGTTAAAGCACAGCACTGAGAAGCTAAAGCCACTTCCGCATGAGTTCGATTCCCGCCTGCCCCGGAGGTGACCCCATGGCGCGGCAGACCTCTCCTGACCCGCCCGCTGCTCCCCTCAGCAGTGTACTTCGTCGATCTGCCTGTTCTGCTCCCCACTCTGTCTCTGGTGAAGCCTCTCACCCTCTGCATCTCTGGCCTGTACCCCAGTTCTGTACAAATAAGTAAATAAATCTTTAAAAAAAATTTACAAAAAATTTACAAAAAAAGATAAGTCTTCTGGAGGGAGTGGTGCTCCTGGCAAAGGTGCTGTTGCTTGACAAAATCAGTCAGGCGCGGCAGCAGTGCCTGCTCCCGGACATGGCTTTCTCCTCTTTGTCTGCCCACCTTCGTTGTATGAGTGACAGCTGGTGCTGAGGCAGCCACACTGCTATGAGGAGGCACAGGCATGGAGTGAGGCCAATCCCCGGGGGGTGACAGACTATGGCCTTGGTCAGCTGTCCTGGAATTGCCTTGTTTTCAGCTTTGCTGGTGAGATCATTTAGTTGGGCTTTTCCTTCACTCATTAAGCACCTCTTATCTCACAAAAATGATTTTCTTAGCAGGGGCCAGTATGCATGAGTCATAAGTGTGTACACAGGGGAACACGATGAATGTACTCCCTTTACCTACCCTATCCATCACAAGCCAATCACCCAGCTGACAAGAAAGACTGCAAGGGGCCAGGTGGAACGAAATCAGCATCCAGGAGAGAGGTGTAGGGCTCCCCGGACCGTGTGAGCGCCAAACAGCGAGGCGCAGACCACCCTACCTGCACAGAAGCAGGCAGTCAGCGCAGAGACAGAGACACCGGTGCGGGCAAGGTGACGGACGCCTACCTCTGGCCATATTTCTAGTTCATTCTTTCTGCTCCTTAGTTGTCTTCTTTTCAAATTAATCTTCAAAATGTACCTAATCCTATCCTTCCATTTTGGGAAAGATAACTTTTTTGGCACTGATTAGGCTTTCATGGAATGTTTCAGAAACACCCATTAACATATATCTTTTTAAAACTTTCAAGTGATTGCTGTGAAGGCTCAGAGAGCGGTTTCCATGGCGGGAGGAGAGGGTGGAGGTTCTGGCAAAGTGCTCTCGGGTAGTGGCTAAAGGGTGCTTGCCTGCTAAGAATTCATTAAGCTATGCATCTGTCTCTTGTGGTCTTCTGTTTAATTTGTGACAATAAGAACTTAAAAAAAGGCTTGTTGGAGGCCCGCTTTATCTCTTAAGCTTGCTTGCTAAAGGAGGATCTGTGGCTGGGCGCTCTGCCAAGGCCCAGCCAGAAGCAGTAAACCAGGCCTGAGTCAAAATCTTACAACCTCAGGAAAGCTTGTTTCGGGCTGGGGAGCCCGAAATCCTCTGCACCCACAGGTGCTCCAGGTCTGATGCGCTGCTGGGCAGGGGGCAGAGAGAGGAGAGCAGCGGGCAGGGCTGGCGGGCTGGCCTTTCAGCCACCACCGAAAGCCTGGAAGCCTTGCTCTCATTGTGCAGATAGGACTCACTAACCGCAGGACGGGGGTGTCTTTATCGCGCAAGGGCTTTTCTTCCCTGCTAGGCGAGCCAGAATGTGTTTCCAGCAAGAATCACTAATCTTTGAACATGGGCAGGGGCATGAGAAAGGTAGCTGGTGGGGAGAACTGATAGCCAGTGCGAATTTACATGCATAAGTCCCTGAAACAATACGCGTGCTTTGCTCAACGGTACATCCCTGCAGACATGCAGATACATGACTTCCTGTTCTCCCCAGCTAGCCTTACTTACGAAGCCAGTGTCCAGAACTGGCAAATGCCTGAGACAGAAAGTAGATTATGTTGCCAGGGGTTGGAGGAAGAGTGGGGAGTGGATGTTAATGGGTACTGGGTTCCTTTTGGGGAGTGATGAAGATGTTCTGGAGCTAGACGGTAGTGATACCTGAATGTCTGAACTGTACACTTGAAAGTGGTGAATTTCACTCTCTACGTATTTTACCACAATTAAGAAAAGTGCTCAGGGATATTTTATCTTAGGGCGATGCCAGAGTCGGCTGAGCCCTCACTCACGCCAACTCTTTCCCCAGCATCAAGTGGCAAAAGTCAGGCCCTCAGGTTTGACACTTACTCGCACAGCTGGCGTCTGGCATGAGCACGTGGCCGCTGAGGCAGAAGCACTTGTAGCTGCCGTGTGTGTTCACACACCTGTGCTGGCATGGCCGGGGCTTTATGCCACACTCATTCACATCTGAGGAAGGGCAGTGGGGAAATGGGGAAAGGTTAGCCGAATGGGCAAATACCCAGATGCAGGGCTCGACCCACGGGACCACGCGCCTTCCCCACTATCACTCGCGCTGAGGATGTGGAGCAGATGGGGTGACCACTCACCGCTGGGGGAGCTGCAAGGGGGCACCCCCTTTGGGAAAGGGTTTGACAGAAGCTACTACAGCTGCAGATGGACACATCCATGCCCTAGCAATTCCACTCCTAGGTTTGCACCTAACAAATAGACGCTAAAATGATCATAGTAGCACCGTTCTCAATGGCCCCTAAAGGGAAAGGACCCAAGTCCCTCCCAGCCAAAGGATGGCTAAATGACTTGTATAAAGTCACGTGTCACTTGACAACATGTCAGTGATGGTGGTCCCAACAGCTGTCCCATCTGGCCTCAGGGTCTAGTAGGCTATGCCATCTGGATCTGCACACTTACACTCCAGGATGTGGGCACAGTGATGAAACTGCCCAGCGACTCATTTCTTAGAACATGATCCCATCGGTGAGTGACTGAGGACTGCACTGCCCCGATGGAATGCTACATCCCATCGGTAAGTGACTCGGGACTGTACTCCCTCGATGAGGGCGAACACCATCCTGAGGAGCGACAGTGAGGAATTTCACACGCATGCTATCGAGTGGCAGAAGCTGGATACAACAACTATATTCAAACTAGGCACAACTAATGCTAGTCCCTGGGGCAAGAGGCCCAGCTAGGGTTCTCTTGGAATGGCGGGCGGCTAGAGGCGGGAGCACGGGGCTCGACGGGAGACCAGGATGCTTCTGCGTCTTGATCTGCACACCAAGCACGCGGGTGTTTTGAAGATTCCTTCACTGCCCGTGTCTGCTGGCCGCACAGCTGCGCATGTGCATCATGAGGTGACAGTGTCCCTGTGCTGCCCCACTGCTAACTTTCCCAGCCCCGCGCTGGCCCCTGCGTCTCTCCAAGTTGCCTCTGCTCATTTCCTGCTAGAGGGAAGGTTGCCAGGCAGCTTCTGGGTGGGGAGGTCAGAGGATCATTGTTATCCCACGTGAAGGTGTTCGGGAGATGTTCAATGAGAAAAGAAGGCTGCAAAGCTGTGTACAGACAGATATGAAGCATGTGAGGAAAATACATTGATAAAGCTGGGCCATGCTGTAAACGCTGACAGTGGTCACCTCAGGTGGCAAGTGACTTTATTCTCTGTGCTGTTTGAAGAAAATTTGCCTTAAATATGACGGATGACTACTTTTTATTAACATTAAAAAACAACCAGAAAAGCAAACTTTAAAAGCGATGACGGTAGAGGCTTCTGTCTTTGGGAATGGGGTCGTGTGGGCGCTTCCTGTCCTAACCCCCCAAGAAGGGTCAGAAAGGGGGAAGTGGCCAGATGGCAGGGATGCCCAAGGCAACAGGCAAAGCAGATCCTTGCAGAGAGAGGAGCGGCCGCTGCTTCTGAAGGAACCTCAGTCTGGGGCTTTGCCCATGCTGGGCCGGGAGTGCTTACGCCTGCTGCCCAGCCAGCCACCTGCATCTGCACCACTTCACACTCGGGCACTGGAAACTGCTGGTGAGACATAGTGGGGGAGCAGGAATACCCCAGCACTCGGCCTCACTCAGAGGTGACTCACTCCTCCCTGGAAGCAGCACCTTTGGGGCAGGTCTCAGCTGGAGGCCGGGGCCTGGCTCCCAGGCTCGGGCAGCTGGGTGGACTTTGATCTGGCTGCCCAGGAGCAGGGAGGCTGGCGGGGAGGGGGTGCGGAGCAGACTGTCCCAAACTGCAGCCAACTGGATCACTCCCGCGACGATCTTATTTTACTGGGCCTGGAAACGGTGCGTGAAACATCTCCACTCTAGTCCAAATCTCCTCAGAAGGCATCTTAGTACAGAAGCCAAGACATATGGAAAAATCCCCGGGGAGGGAGGCAGCTGAGTTATGACTTAGGACAGCAGAACTCCACGCTGCTGCTCCCTCAAGCAGTTGGATCTTTTCGGTGTGGATCTGTAAGAGCTGGGGTAGGAGAGGGGTGACTTGGAGGTGGCCCTGGGGCTGCAGGCTGCAGGCAGGCAGCTCAAAGAAAGGCTACCACAGTGCACGCCACTGGCCCCTGGGCTTGGCACCAAGGGCTGGTGGAGTAGGGTGGCTCCCTGCCTGCTCGTCCCTGGAACTCTCCTCTTCCTTCTAGAACCGGAGAGCCTTTCTTACGGGCAGCTGAGATTGCTTTGCTGCTCTTTGTTCAACTGTAGCACAGGACTGAGGATGCTTTGGTAGGACTGCAGATTTCTGCAGGCCTGGGTCTCGCGACCTCAGTGCTGCAAAGGCAGAGAGCTGGAGGACTGGAACGAGCGTGATTCATGAAGCCTTGTTTCCCTAAACGAGAAAAGCACTCACACTAGGGATGAGGTTCAGAGTCGAGCTGGCTTTGTATGTGCCGACAGGCCGCGATGCCCACGGGAAACATTTCTGTTTGTGCTATTAGAGAAAAGGATTTTGAGGAGCCATGGTTAGGGAACCATGGTTAGAACTATGGTTAGAATAGGGATGTCGCTTTTTAATTTATAGCCCTTTGCATAGTGTTTTTGTTGTCATTGTTGTTAGTAAAAACAAGCATCACTGCAGTAGCAAATATCATCATAAAAATAATTTCTTTAAAAAAAATGCCTATTGGTGATGGGAAACCCACGGGGATTACAATTGAGATGGAAAATAAAATGTACAAAATGATGTAAAAATAAACTTTTGTAATAAAAAAAGCCTATTGTGGAGCATCTTGACAAAACATTAGAATGACTTATAATTTCTAGAAAGGACTGGTTGGAAAATCTAGTTCTGACACCACTTTCAGTCGGAGGTTCAGGCTCAGCTCGACACTACCTGAGCCTGACGTCACTCTAGCCATCGCTCCAGAGAGCTTGGGCTGGGCTCGCACCAGCACCCCGTTCCACGGTACTGACCTTGACTGCAGGTCTTCCCGGTGTATCCCGGAAAGCACCGACATTTGTTCGGTCCCACGCACTCACCAAACTTGCATCCAGGTTCACAGGCAGCTGTGGAAGGAAAAGATGTTTTGACGATAAAAGACCAGGGGAGGTGAGTGAGCACGGCAGAGGCAAGCTCGCCAACCCCCGCGGTGGGACCCAGCTCCCCGTTTCTGGGCCGGACCTACTGCAGTGTAGTGAACACCGCAGCTTCACCCCGCGGGATCGGGCTGAAGCGAGACTTCCCTGGAAAGGACATCGCGGTCCAGCTTCTTTGTTCCCTTGCTCCCGTCGGATGCCCCCCAAGAGTCAGGCACCGACACCCCCAGAACATGCCACTCTGCATAGGGCGCCTGGTCACGCTGCTGCCTCCTGACACAGCATCGGTCTACACGCCCCATCAGGCCCCGGTTTCTCCGTGGCCTTAGCTCGCTCTGCTCCCTAGACACGGGCCACGCTGCAGCGGAACCAGAGCAGCGGCTCGCGCTTGGCCCGCACACACCTCCTGCCCCTCCCCACCCACTGTGGCACATCCGGGGCCTCTCCCCGCTCTCCCCTCCCACGGAAGATACCCTCCCCATCCTTCCATCCAGCCCCTCCTTCCAGAAGCTTTCACAGCTTTCTCCCCTCGCCTGCGCACTGCCTTCAACTTGAACCGCACCGTAGAACTGATTCGGCTCCATCGTATTCAGTAACGACACACACATTTGGTTTCCTGGACTTCTAACTACTATCTGATTCAAAGTGCTTTCAGATCAGGGACTGAGACATTCGAATGTCTTTGTTTCTCCTGCAATACTTAATACTGTCATGAATGCAGCGTCTGTAAGGCTTTTCAGAGAGCAGCACTTGTGGCTCTGAATGGGAAGTGAGCAGGTAGGGGGAAGTGCTTCCCAGACACGTCTTCTACTTTTGCAGACAAAGGAAACAGAATTTGATTTCCAATGTTCACTTTGTTATGGATGTGCACTTGGGGATGCCGTCTGAAATGTAGATATTAGGAAATAAATCTTTTACTTTTTTAAGGCTCTGAAGACCTCTGACCATTCCCTGGAAAGTCATTTTCAACACAGGCCAAAGAGGAAAACCTAGGACCGATGCCAAAAAGAACACAGGGGAAATGGTGAGTAATACCCTTACGGCTGTGAGGTCAAAACTCCAGAAAGCTGTTCTCAATTTGCAGGAATTCTGGGTCAATGATTTGAGCAGCCAACGGACAGCACGGGCGGCTTGGTTGCTGAGATGGTCTGCGGCTTCAGTGCGCTGCAGACAGACAGCCCTCTCCTCCACTGTGGCGTATCAGTCACAGACAAGACTGCCCCATCTCGCTAAGTCACGTGTGTGTGAAGGTTAGTGACAGCGAGTTGAGCAGACCCTGCCTGGGAGCAGACTCAGCAGAGCTGGGGCCAAGAGTGGGAAAGCCCGCAGGGGACCGAGGAACACAGAGGCGGGGTGGGAGTCGGGGGTTGGGGGGGAGAGGTGAAGACCAGGGCAGCTGGGACTTCACAGGCTGGGGCCTGATGCTGCAGGCTGGGGCAGGTCGACAGCTTTCTCGTCTTATGGCCACACAGCTGCGCTCTGGCTTCAAAATCGGAGCCCTAGCAATCAAGGGTGAGCACCCTGTTATTTGCTGCTTTGGGGGCATACAACTTTACTATCAGGAAGGGCCATGAAAAGTGGCTGGAACACGATGCAGACCCAGGCATAAAAATCACTGCACGCTATTAACTTGAACGTCTGCCTGGGCCCGGGCTGGGGGCAGTGGTGCTGGCGATCTCCTGAGCCTGCCGACCTGGCCGAGATGGGCACTTTGCTTGAATGCTCTGAACCTGCTTTCTCAGCCTCCTGCCTTCAGGTCCTTTGCACGCATGGCATTAAATCATCCACGAAGGCACTGAGAATGCGAAAGGCCGAGTGTGCCGTCGCGACTGCTCTGCTCTGGTTACGCAACAGCTCTTGCAGACAGCGAGCTCGCCCTTGTTTACTTACCAGACACCCAAGTTTTATGGCAGTACGTGTTGCTGAGGTTCGTGCGGCTGGAAGAAAGATTCCAAATCACTTGTCCCACGTGTTTTTTTTTGCCCTTTTCCCACTTGACTGACTTCAAATAAAAACATCTTCGGTAGTGGTGAGAAAAAGAATGAAGTCACATTTCGTCCCTCACCACCGGGTGCGCTAATGGACACAAGCATGCAGTGAGATGCTGGCCCTTGCCAGCGGGCAGCAAGTCACAGGCGTCTCCCGCACTGCAGGTGGTGCACCCATGCCCTGGGCTCACTCTCTTACCCCCGGGAGTAGGCACTGCTCATGGGGGTGCAGAGGCAGAACAGGGGCCTGAGTGAGCTCAGCCACCTTGCCCAAGGTCACCCACATCATTCTGATTCTCAAGACAAAGCCCTGGATGTAACTCGGTGCATCCAATCACCGTGCTTCATCCTGGCTTAAATGACAAAGACATCGGGTGTGTTCTAACTTCCTGTAGTTAGGTGGCACATGAGGATCTTCAAACGCTCTTTCTGCTATCTTTGTACTGTTGTCCCAGGGCATGGAGTTGGCGGGGCTGTTGGCTAAGAGCGCGCAGGGAAGAGTGACTTAATGTCTTCTGATGCTTTGTGGGTTTCGGATATCAGCACGCTCCACTCTCACCTACGAGTGTCTCACAGGCTTGAAGCACTTGGGGAGAGGCTTGGGGCAGGGTCACAGCAGCACAAAGAAGGTGGCAAGCAGCCTTAGCCTAAAAAACAGCTCATGCCTTGGTGCTTTAGTTTAGCATCCAATAGGAGCCACGCCAAGGCCTCAAGTGAGAGGGGTGTGAGGTCTCCTCTCTGCTGCATTTCACAGATAAGAGGCTCAGGCACAGGGAGGCCAGATTCCTGCCCCGAAGGAATGCGCCTCAGGCCTGGCAGTCAGTGAGGAGCCAGGGTTTGATTCCTCTGCAGCCTGCGTGTCAGTTATTACAGAAAGTCAAAGAACGAAGCTATACAAGTCCCCGTCCCTCCCAGAGCATCTGAGAAACAATGTCTGAAGCAAATGATGGTTCCTTAGTTTGAAGTCTGCATGAAAGTCTCAGAAACAAGGTAGAAATCTTGCCATAGCGGGCCTCCCCTGAAGCCATCTAGAAAGTGGTGCAAGGGACTGGAAAAAGGTGCGTAAGAAAACAATAAAGTAAATGGCTCGCTCTTGTTTGTAACTGAAGCCTCCCAGGTGGGTGTCAATGTTCAGAAGCGTCGTCCACAGAAGTCAGTGGGGAAGATGATCTCTAGAAGGAGGCACGTGCTGGCCAACTCGGTTTCCTCAGATTAAAACAAAGACAGTCCCAAACAACCCAGTCAGAGTCAGTAAGAGAGCAAGGAGCTTGTGGGCAAGACAGTTCCACTGAAACACACCCCATCGAGGGTGACGGTGGCAGCTACGTTTGGAGGGCAAGAGATCCCCAGGACCCAGCCCATGGGTGGGGTGGTTTTCCATGTCCCTCTGTCGGGGAACTCACTGGCAACTTGGCGCCAGCTTATGATGTAGACAAAAGCCCATGTTTCCTGGCCACTGCTCCTCACTGAGTGGTCTGCACTCTTAGACAATTACCTTCACAGACGCCCCGGCTGCTCTGTCTCCATCCATAGCAGCAGGCCAGCTTCACCCCATAGTGACACAGCCCAGGCTGCAGGGCCAACGCTGACAAGCCATGATGCCTCGCACTGTGGGACAAGAGCCACAGTTAGCACGGACAAGACAGAGAGGGCGACAGAGACCCTTCCCGGCTCCAAACTGAACAGGAGTGAAGACAGGACCCTGAGGAACGTCCACAAACCTGCTGCTCAGGGCCAGGCCAGAATTTGAAGGCGGAAGTTCAGGTGGCCTTGGCCGCCCTCCCTGCCACACTTTCCTGATCGCCAGCGTCATCCATTTCTTTCTCCACAGGGTGAAGAACATTGGGTCACATAACCTATAGAACCGGGGCACATGCGAGTGGCCAGAGATTTAGGTCTCAAATCTCAGCGTGCCAATCAGATCTGCCCTGTCCACGCCCACGTCAGGCAAGTGTGCAGATGGGGCTCCCTGGCCCTGTGGGGTGTCCCGGGCAAAGTGATATGCTTTTACCCACAGGCCGCCTGGCCACCATGGACAAATGGGAATCTCCACAGGTAAGGAACAGGAAGTGCTGGAGGGGCGTCGCGACGCGGAAGCTCTGGCTGGACAGTGGGGGTCGCATAGCCCCAGAGCTGGCTGTCGTGGGTTATAGCCAGGGTGCATCCTCATTCCTTCTGCCTCTGGAAACACCATTTTCTAAGCTCTATACTCTTAGAGAGGGATGGAAAAATGCTTTTCCACAAAGGGCCACACAGTAAATAGTTTAGGCTTCCGGGACCTTCAGGTCTCAGTCCAAGGCAGCCGTAGGCAATGGGCCACAGAGAGGTGCAGCTGTGTTCAATAAAACTTTATTCATGGACACTGCAATTTGAATTTAATATACTTTTCATGTGGCATGTAATAGGGGGTCTTCTTTTGATATAGCATTAACCATTTTAAAAAGTAAAAACCACCCTTAGCTCATGAACCATGGAAAATCAGCAGGCTTGACCTGTGGACTGTCTCAATCTGGACTCCTGAGACTCAGCCCTGGTGCCATGTCTCCCCAGGTGGGCCATGCTGTGGGTATAGCTGGTGGCCTGCTCACCTCCTTCCTGGCCTCGTACGGGACAGATTTGCTGCCTGATTCTGGAAGCAGAGAAGTTGGACACCTTGTGTCGGTCCGGGGCTACATCCCTCACTCACATTAAATCCGCTGGAAAGTGTTTTCCGGTCTCCTGAGCAGACAAGGCAGGCACAGTGGGCCCAGCACTTCTTGCTGTGGACTGAACTTTCCATGGGATAATCATATCTGTGTCAAGGTCAGGAAGTTAAACCACCTGGCGCTTTCCTTCAAGGGCTGCTTCTCCCACCAGCTTGGTGACTGGGTTGAGAGCTGCAGAGGTCTGGCACATTTTATGAACCAAGAACACTCAAGGCAAGGATGACTGTATTATCCACTTTTTCTTGAGCTGGACTTCTTTTTCATCCTCTAGTGGGATCATGGCGCAGGGTTTTCAAACGCTACAGGACTGACAGATAAATCGTTATAGTTGGGGGGCTGCTCTGGGCATTGACGGTGTTGAACAGCATCTCTGGCCTCTACTTACAGATGCCAGGAGCACTTGCCCTTCCAGTTGGGAAATGAAAAATGTATCTGGACTTTGCCAAATCTCCCTTGCGAGGCAAATTGTCCCGTTAGGCATCACTGCTGAAGTGAAACACTGATCCAACTTTACCATATTCCAAGTAACCTTAGACACAGAGAGTGATGAAAAAGACTCACTCTTTGCTCTCTAAAGTTCACAGACCACTATATACAGAAACATGGTGAGTATCATTGCAGAGGCCTCAGAAGATTTGGGCAGAGAAATACCGCAGCCATTGGTCATCAGCTAACCCAGATATTTCTAGCCTTCTGCAAGGACACCACAATCTTGATATGCTTTGCACATAACTAACAATTCCCAAACAAGAAACCACAAGCTACTGGACACAAAGTGTGTCGACTAAGTCTACACAACGGTGTCCTTAAGAATCTTTTTTTAGCTTTTTAAAAATTGAGATGCAATTCACACACCATGAAATGCACACATCAGTGGCATTTCATATATTTACTAGGTTACACAACCGTTACCACAATCGAGCTCCAGAACATCACCATCATGCTGAGAAGAAAGTGCACCCCACTCCGCCCCAGCTACCACAAATCGTCATGACTTGGGATTCGCCTATTTTGAACATGTCACATAGATGGAATTGCTCACCCTGTGGTCCTGATGGCTCGGGCTTCTTTCAGTCAGCACACATTCAGGCTCGCCGTGCTGTGCTGATTTCCTGATGCCAAAAGCCCAGCTTAATCCCTCATAGGGTATTAGTATGCAGTGAACACTGTGGTAAGTGCTGGGGATACAGAAATGCACAGGGAGTGAGGGGCCTTGAGGGTGAGCTTTGAGGCGAGTGGGCAGGGTAACAGAAGCCCTAACCATGGTCAGTTGGCTGTAGAAGCTTAAAGCAAAGAAGCAGTCTGGATGAAAGGGTCCGGGTGTTCTCTCTGAGGGTGCTAGCTTTCAGTGAGACTGAAGATGAGCAGGGTTCAACGGCACAGCGTGAGTAGAACAGACACTATGGGCAGAGGTGGCAAAACTAATGTCGGCAAGAGGAAAAGGACGCCGGTCTTCTGGGGGAGGGTCTGCTACAAGACCAGGAGGTTGGGGCAAAGGGATTGGAATGGGCAGGGGGCAACACAACACTGGGGGGCTCCGGAGTCAAGCTGGGTTACGGGGGTATATAGCCTATGGCGGTAGACAGCACTGAAGGGTCTCAGGTAGGGAGCTTTGATAAGATCCCCTTTTAAATATCATGGCGACAGTCTGGCAAATGGACTGGACGGGGGCAGAATGGAAGCAGGGAAAACAGTTGGCTTGGAAGAAACATCTAGTCATTCCTGCTGGAGCAGGAACAGTGGCGGTCAGGAGAAACCAATGGATGGAGGTGGACCATGAGACCTGGGCATGGATTAGAATCATTAGCCATTCATTCACTGAAGAAGCGTTTATTGGATCCCTACAAAGTATCACGTACTGGGTTAGTTTCCGGAAGTTCAGCGGCAACCAACAGGAAGTAAAATGTATGCCTTCATGAAGATCATCTTGTGGTCAACGGAATGCGAGTGTGGGACGTGTGATGGGTAGAGGGCAATGTTGGGCTTCTGGAATGAGGACTGTGGCTGCGGGAATAGGGGAAAAGATGAGTTCTCTTTGGGACATGCTGATTTTGAGTGCTCATTAGCCAGCCAGGGGAGATGCCTAGTAGGAAGCTGGACAGCTAGGTCAAACGGGAGCTGAGGAGACTGGGAGAGCCAAAGACCACCATGCAGATGAGAGGTCACATTTTGGAGGTTTATAAATGATACTTTGTACAACGTCAAAAGTGATGACTTGGGAGAAATTAATACACCTCAGAGTTCTCGGCTTCACCTTCTACCTCAAGGCAAACATGTGAAAGCAAGAAAGCTGGGGAAAGGCTTTCCCTGGAGAGTTGTGGGTGGTAGTCCAAGGAAGGTTTGGCAGAGCTGGGTGGAGAATCCTGGGGCTAAAGTCAGCCCTCAGAGGAAAGTTCTATTTCCCGCAAAAGGTCTGGCCTTGGCATCTCTGCCATGCTTGTCCTCAAGGACCGTGTGGCAGGAGCAGCCTGGGAAGGAGGCATGGCCTAATGACCTAGCTCCAGCCACAGTCCTGGCACCTGGACGTCTGCAAGGCACATTGTCGTGGCTGCAGTTCTCACAGGACTTTCCTTGTTCACCTTCATAGGAACCATTTTCCCCATAAGGGAGATTATCATAGGATTTCATCCAAAGGAAAGTGAACTTAGACATAAATCATTTCCAACCTGTCATCTTATTACTTTTTCTTAGAGCCAAAGGGGCAGGTTTACTGTGTACAAAGGGAAGGAGAAGATGATGTTGCCCAGACACAAGCACGCCAGAAGAGCTGCCGCTGCTGTTCTGCAGAGGGAAAAGGATTGTGTAAAGGAACTCTTGCACAAGCACAGGCGGGCAGGAGAGTTGCGCCGACATGTCACCTTAAACCTGAAGAAACTCGGCCCAGGAAAGACTGGATGGCTTTGCATTAGAAGTCAGAGGGGAACAATCTGCTCAGGTACTCATCCGCCCACCTCTCCATTTGTTCATTCAAAATGATTAGGTAACTGCACACGTCAGGCACTGGACGAGGCACCGAAACCAGAAGCAGTGGGAGCAGCCTCCGCTGCAAAGGACTAACAGTCCGGTGAGGAGGGCAGCAAACAGAGAAGGCTACCAGAAGATGACACCCATGTACCCACATTACCACAACTCCCCAGGGAAAGCCTTTCCCCAGCTTTCTTGCTTTCACATGTTTGCCTTGAGGTAGAAGGTGAAGCCGAGAACTCTGAGGTGTATTAATTTCTCCCAAGTCATCACTTTTGACGTTGTACAAAGTGTGACAGATCAACATTTGGGCCATCAAAAACATAATACAGGAAGACTTCTTTGCCACTCTGAAGAATTCCTTCCCCAGCTGCAAATGCATCTTATTACAACTGTTGGGAGAGATGAAAGATCCGTCATTAAATCTAGTCCTATGCTCATGTGTTTAAAACATAGAAACAATAGTTGCTGGAGAATCAACAGATGACCGGAACTACAGAATGGCTTCAGGCAGTGACACGAGTCAGAAAAGACCGGCGCAGCATCCAGAGGGTGAGGTGACATGTTCTATGGGTCTTCCTAGAGAGCCGAGCAGCTGGGAAGAACACTGTAGAAGACACCACCCCAGAACCCTGCAAATTCCTAAATGGGCAAACGCCTTCAGCTAACGGGTGTGCTGACTAGCGGGTGTGCCCTCACCCGGTTTTGAGAGACAGCTTCAAGGGGACAGCCACAAATGGCATTTTTTTCTGGTTTCTTCATCAAATTCTACATCTGGTCATAAAAACAGAAAACAGTTACAAGGGGGGAGATGACTAGCGGCTAGAGTTGCTAATAATTGCTTGCTGATTGGGAGATGCCAGAGGAAACTGATTTATTACAGCAGGAATCCAGTTCTGCATGCTATGCTCGCCAGGTTTTTTTTCTTTTTTAATGCGC